CGGGCTTAAATTGAAAACATGCCTTACAGAGACAAATAAAGCTACTTCTCCTTTAAGAGCTCACGTTCCGTACCCATATAAGGAATGCTTGGGGGCGTGGCTTGAGACATGAGCCAGCCCTCAACTAGCCTGTGAGAATTCAGCAATACAGAGTGAAGCAAAACAGTATATACAAATACAAAAGTGCACAAAAGAGACACAAACATGCCTTCATACACACTCAGTGGTGCTCCAGCATAGATTTGGTGTGTATGATGCTGGCAAAACAAAGAAGCAGGCAACACTGCTCTCAGCTACTACTCCAAAACGAGTTTTATTCTCTTTCAAAACACTTTCCCGGCAGCTATTCGGAGCTGTAGCTGGGATCAACTGGTCTATGTGGGACTGTTAAAGCTCACAGCTACATTATAACGCTTCCCTTCCTCCATGCTTGAGTGTGTGCGTCTCTCGTATCCCTTTCCAGTCAAACACACTTAAACTGTCAACGTTGACACAAACAGCTTGACTTTTACACTTTTTTTTTTTCTGTAGAAAATCTGGTGCTCGCCCGTTTAAATGAATGGCAAGTGACAGTGAAGACATTTATAAATGCTGTTCTTTTGCACTTTCTTTTCATTCAAAGAATCCTGAGGGGGGGGGGAGGAGAAGAAAGTATCACACTTTCCATAAAAATATGAAGCGGCACAACTGTTTTTAAAATTGTTCAAAATGTTTCATGAGCACCAAATCAGCATATTAGAAGGATTTCTGAAAGATCATTTGACACTGAAGATTAGGAATGGATGCTAAAAACTCAGCTTGCCATCACAGGAATAAATGGCATTTTGAAACAGAACACAAACAAAATTTTTAGTATTTCATAATTTTACTGTTTTTTTTCTGCATTCTTGATCAAACAAATGCAGGCTTGGTAAGTTTACTTTCTTTAACGTATAGAATCTTAACAATATAAATGTTATCAATATATTTTAAACAAAACGCCTACATGCAAAGCACCAGTAGACTGTCCCACCAGACAGTCGCTATTATAGTCAGCGGCTCAACTTCTTGTTTTCCACTTCAATGAGCCAAGTGAGAACACACAAAAAGTGCAATCCTCTGCTCTCTGCACTGGTGATGTAAATGCACAGGATGTGATTTCTGCTGGTCACACCTTCAGTTTACCTACTTTTATACTTTCTCACTGCATCATTCTCTCTTTTGATGTTGCAAAGAGCAAGAGAAATCGACTGAAAGTGCTCTAAAGAAGAGCAGAATGTTCCCGAATGAAAAAAAAAGTGACTTTAGAGAAATTTCGGGCAATGGTACACCAATCTTGTACTTGCACAATCCTTGAATGATGTGTGCATATGCCAAAGTATGCACTCTATAAATAGATCAATAAAATGATGCTACCCAACAAAAGGCACTGAAACACTATAAAGCCTTTAATGAGGTATCAGCTATGGGAGTCTGTCGTAAATGTCGCAACAATAACAAAAACATAGCTGATGCTAGATATTAATGTTAGTCCCTCTGTAGAGATTTGCACCTGACACTGATGAATGAGGACGGTAACTAACACGCCCTTGGTAACACGTTCGCCAAGGTGGGGGTGGCAAGTGACAAATGTGCTCCTCTGTAACAGAGTAAGGGCGTAATGAGAGAAAGGCAATAGATAGTGGAAGGTGGATATGAGGGCAAAGGTGAAATGAAAGATAACTGCAGGGAAAAAGGGAGCTTGGGTATGGAGGCAGAAAGATGATGAAAAGATACGTTAATGTGCACGCACACACTACTCACACTAACCTGCAATTAATTAGCCTAGCAAAAACCAAAGCACTATATAATATTCAGAGTATGCATCTTAGGCATATGCTAAAAATAGCTGTTCTGTGACAATACAGCAGAGCTTCAGCATTTTATAGAACTATAAGAGTAAACAAGATATTCCAGCCAATGCAATTTGGAGTGGGAGAATCATTTATTTAAATAATTGATTTTATATATACACACCACAGCTACATCCTATGGCAGTTATCAAACTACTGCTAATTGTGCTGGTTTAAGTGGCTAGTCGAATTTAAAACAATAATGATGAACAGCTTAGCAGGTTAGGACCTTGTTCTCCAGCCTGCACATGCACACATTTAGCTCTGCGATACTGATATGGGACAAGCTTCTATTATTGAAATCCTAATCTAAGCCACTACGGGAGAAATCCTAAAGATGAGCTCAGATCATGAGACGGTTAAAATGGGAGGCAGATCTTAGATAAAAATGCCCAGACAGGCGACGAGTAGAGTGGGTCTGGCTATCATGGTTAACCATTCATGGCATCTCTATGGCTATTTAACGAAGCCAAGGAGCATTTTTCTAGAGGTGAGAGAAAATACAATGTGTGCACAATCAAAACGTGCTGATAAGGTGTTCTAGATGGTTGCAAGAGTGTTGTTATGCAATTGCTAAAGGGGTTTTCAGCATATTTCTATGCTGTTATTTTAATATTATTTATGCAGTATTTTTAAAATAGCTTTTAGTTTTAGATATCCCATCTTCATTTTAATTTTGGTTTAAGATTTTCTCATTTTCAATAGTTTTTTATTTATATAGAGCTTTATTTAACCTCTTAAGACCCGGCAAAACATTTTAGGAAAAAAAAATCATATTTTTTCATGTCATTAAATTGTTTAGAGCATTACAAAAAAAAGTTTAAATAAAAAAAATATATAGATATTTCATTCATAAGTTATGCTACGTCCTTGGTAGAGGACATCGGGACTCAATAAAAAAATAAAAATAAATAAAAAGACATGAATGAACATGCATATCACCAATACATTTTTGTTTACCAAACTTTGTATAAAGATAATTCTCAACTATGTTATAACAGAATGATTTGATATACCATTTTTCTTCATGCAAAATGTGTGTAAAATGGCCATAAACAGGTTTTCTCATTATATATAATGCATCTATAAACTAAATCTAATTTGCATATTAATGTGTTTTTGGGGCAACATGTCATGCAAAAAGAAGTGTAATAATGAGAGTAATAATTGACAAGATTTTCACAATAATATTTCATAGGAATATTGAAATATAATTTCTTTCCCTATTCATTTGTTGTGTCTCCCAAAATGCGTAATAACCATACTTTTAGTCCCGGTGTCCTCATATGAGGACATGTATGAAATCAACATCCTGTTTCGTAACAGAAAGTCATATTTTGATTTGAAACCCCAGAACATTTTCCTGAGATGTTGATTTATGACAGACAGTTTAAAAATGAGTCTGATTTAAATATGATCATATTTCCATAAGAATGTCACTAAATTAATATCAGACATTTTTGAAGACCAAGGAGAGGGAGTGGTCATGGTGAAATATCCAAACTTTTAGTATCTCTGTAAAGCCCTGAATGTGCTCTGTACAGGACATCCAGATATTAAAACTGTGGCCTGTATAGTCTCAGAGAAATACACTAAAATATAATGTCCTCATATGACAGGAGGGTAATTTTTTATTTAATTGTTAGTCATTTCAATATTTCAACTATAAATGTGTTTAGATGCCAAGATAACATTTTTAAGTTTAAGTTTTTCATATTCAATATTTTATTACACCTCATACGAGAACAAGGATCCAATTCAAACAGCCCAAACCTAGTAGCAGGGCCAGTCTGTAAATAAGACCAAACTCCAAGCAACGCCGGAAGAACAGTGTTAATGGACCGGCACCACCCTCCCTCTCATCAAGATGAGAGAACGAGAATACATTGCATTTAGGGGAGATGTTGAACTGAAACCCCTCATTCAACATTTACAGGTATCGGTTGCAGAAAGGGAGTCGCTACAGGCCTTAACGCCGCCACCCTGAACACGCATTTGCTTCCTACACCAGCTTGATATGCTTATCTTCAGATTTGCTGCAGCTATTCCTACCATGCATTTCCCTAACCCAGTGATGTAATACATACTTCTGCTGACGGCCACACAGAAAGAGGTCACACAGCAAGGGCATAAAGAAGCTGATCTGAAGCTCTTAATATTCAAGTTTCAAACTGATGAAAAAAGGTCACATTCTACCTGCAGCTCTTTTGGGACATCTGAGCCCTTTGCAGAGAGACAGAGCCCACTTTGGGTCACTGCCGGTTCTCGGTTCGTTTTCTGGACAATGGAAATCGCTCTGCAGCTCTCCATTGTGCCTTTCCATTGACGTCTTGTCTGGCATCAGTAATGAGCAGGATGGATGCCTCTTACATATTCTGCAACCTGTGTGCGCATACCCACCCACCAACCCACCTACTGACAAAACTGCTCAATCTTCTCGTGAAATATTAGTATTATTGATAATACTTAGCCTACAAGAACAACACAATATCTTCGCAGCATTTCGGCAACAGCAGTCTATAGCGAAGCACAAAAGCAACCTTTTCGAAATAAACTGGGCTACTAAAAGCCAGGCATGATTCAAGGGCCCATGGCTAGGGGTGTAACATGGAAACAGAATCATGCACACTTCAAATCAACCACAAAGCATGCAATAAATCAAAAAGGAGCAATCAAATAAAACCTAAAAGATAAAGAAAAGGAGGCACTGGGATGAGAATGCACTGATGAAAGTTGCCTTCAGTGGATGAGACAGCATGAATCAGACAAAGCAGAAACGCCCCCCCTGCGCAAGAACATACAGGAGCTGCTGTATGCATTGTGTGTGCATGCTATGATTAATCTGCCATTATCAAACACACGTGAGATCACTTCAAACACAAAAGGTGGAAAAGAACCGGGGAGTCTATTTTATATACCACACTGCTGGACCATTTCATTCTTTAATCTTAAGAGTATTAAGGTATATACATGATTGATTAGTGTGATTGTTAAGGTATCTTGTATCTTACACCCTAAGAATCCATCTTCCATTATTATAATCTCTGAGCCTAGAGACTGATCTATATATACACATGGTGAAATGAGAGTGATCTGAAGGTGCATGGCAGCACAAAGAGAGCAACTCACCCACAGCAAACACATATAACGATGACAATGACCAGGGCCGCAGCAGTCAGCAAACTAACATCCCATCAGAGCTGGAGGAGGAAGAGTTTGATCCAGTTTTAGACAGGATCTCCAGATCTTCAGTGTAATCGGCGTTGAAATGTGTACACAGTGTAACGAAGATATATCTGACCGATGAGGACACCAAATCCTGCTTTCTCAATGCCTTTCGTCTCCTTTCCACGTCCTATAGGCACCTCTGCCAACGGGCCTTTGCTATTTTCTGCTTGGCTCTTGGTCCAAAGCCCTCGCCCATGAAATGATTCTGTCCCTTTAAAAACAATACTTCCGGGATTTGCTGAAGAATGACTCGGGGGCGGGACGTTCGAACAGCTGAAGGGCTGTCATTTAAGCGATTGGTCGCTTTCTCGTCTACGAACCAATAGCAGTTGTGTATTAATGCGCTATTTGAATAATAGTAATATATTTCGAAGAACAACATTCCCATTGGTTCCGGGGCAGGCACCGTCTTGTCAAGCCACGCCTCCGTACACGTGCAAGTGTTCCTTTGACTTTGGTGGGGAAACGTATAGATAACGACTGGACAAAAATAGGGTTTATGTAGTAATGTTTCGATTAATTGGCAAATTCGTATTTTGTAGACTAATTTAAGCAACCAAAATATATGAATCGAAAATAAATACCTTTACTTACAAACCTCAAATAAAATATAATAACGCTAGAGTTCAAATAAGGCTAAGGTTTCTGTCCTGTTTTTTTTAAAAACAAACAAGCAAATAAAATTAATTTATAATGAGAGCTAAGTTAGTAAGGTTTTTATACGTTTTTCCTAACAACCCTACAAAATCATATGTCCACTTTTTTATCTGTTGAAAACCATGTAACTTAAATCCATAAGAGCTGGAGACTGAATTTCTATAAATTAAATAACCAATACACGTAACAACAATATGTTTAAGTTTAAACCATATAACTAAACAACGTTTACACACACACTGTAGACTTGTTTGTTCTGACTCTGTTGAACAAGTTAGGACTAAATTTGTAGGACAACTGTTTTTCCAACATATTTTTATTCCCACTACCAAACAGTTGAGTACTTCAAAAGTGTGTGGTCAGGAAGTCTTTTTAATTTAATTTAATTTAATTTAATTTAATTTAATTTAATTTAATTATTTTATTTTATTTTATTTTATTTTATTTTATTTTATTGAATTGAATTGAATTGAATTGGATTTGATTTGATTTGAATTGAATTGAATTGAATTGAATTTTAATTTAATTTAATTTATTTTATTTTATTTTATTTTATTTTATTTTATTTTATTTTATTTTATTTTATTTTATTTTATT